TCCTCTACTCTTCTCATAAGTATAAGATTTCCTATTAATTGTCTCCTCCTCCTGTCTTCAATATTTCTCCTTTAAATTCAAGACATTTTCTGTTCTTCCAACAAAACTGATTAACTGTTTGGATTTGTTTATAACCTCATACATATTACAAACATAAATACTTACTCCAAAAAAGTTGGTGAGTTTATTTTTATGTACAGCTGTTTTTGTTTTTAAATTTGTGGTACTTTCCTGTTAAAGGGAACATTCATTATGAATGATGATTTTTTTCGATATATCGATATTAACAAATTGAAACATATCAGCTGACAACTACGATAAATATTGTTCAGTATATGAAACTGTTCTAAAAAAATAACCTAACATAACTAACCAAACTTGCTGTAACATTTAAAAGTTCCGTGTTTAACTTGCCTTTTTTATTATCAAACCCAAACGGAATTTTTAAATGGTACAGCAAGTTTGGTTGGTTATGTTAAGTTAGCTTAGAACAGTTTCATTTTTTAATCCATATATTAGACTATTTTAGCCTAAACAAGATCAGTTAGTTATTGTTGTCAATTTGTAATGGATCGGATCGGAAAACAAAAATATCGATATATCGAAACAAAATCATCGATAATAATGAATGTTCCCTTTAACAGGAAAGTACCAAATTTGTTTTCAATGTAATTCTTATGGGGGAAATGCGACCTTTGAGAGCGTCTCGTGCCCTTAAGAGCAATGGCAGAATGCCTAACAGAAAAATCGAAGAAACCTTTTTGTGCGACGTTAAGGGCCAGCAGCATGTGTCTAAGGAGGACAAGGAAGAAGTGGAGGACTCTTAGAGAGTTTGAAGATGGGACTGGAGTACCAGTTATTTATTTATTTAAATAGCAAATGTTTTATTATTTTTCCATATCAAAATTGTTAATTATATTATTTAGTATAAAAAAAAAAAATTTACAGATGACTTAAATTAATTGATATATTTACATTCTTTCAAAATGTAAACATGGAAAATTTGGAAGGCCATGGGGCGTAGCCAAGGGAAATGTGAAAATTAAATGATATAATATTGCATTGTCATCCATTTGTGAGCTATGTTTCAAGTTTTAAGTCTCTAGCTCATCGGGAACTTAGTATAAAATTGATTGCAAAATTTGTACCAGACAAGAAATAAGCGAGCTAATAAAAAACGTTTTAATATATAATTCTGAGCAATTTGCAGACAAAACTCTAATTTTATTTATGAAGATTTATTGTTTGTTTGTTTACTCTATTACTGAATTATTAATTATAATTATGAATCTTTGATTCTCAATTCTCATTACTGTATAGATGATGTTTGCATTACCACAAAATTATTGGTTTTTGTTCTGTCATACTGTTCAATGCAAACACAAGGTTGCCTGCATATTCCAACCATGGTAAGTGTGTGTAACTTATTCAGTTATGGGCTAGTTTGACTAGCCAGAAAACCGGGCTGACACTAACAATGACAGTTTTTTACTTTCCTAACCCTATTTTCACAAGGTCAGTTTGTGTGGTATATTTTCCAGGGCGGCTATTTCAGTGACATCCATATCCATGTTAATCAGACACAATAACAAACACTGAAAATCTTCAAAAATATTGATCAAAATGGTTCCTTGTGCTGGAAATATGTAAACACCTTACCTACTCTATGTTAAAAAAATCTAAAATCGTATAACTCATTGAGCGAAGCTCTTATACGTCACTCTTATGCATTTCGTAATACGCAATCTCCTCCAAGACGGCTGAAGTAATCATTTTCAAATTTTGCATGGTGATAAAGACCATATATCGGTGAGTGCTAACAACTATATGGTGTTAAAAAAACTCTCTAAGGAATCCCCCCCACTGGCTCTAAAAATTTTTATGTAATCTTTATGGACGCAGTATTTGACACAAAAAAAAAGACACAAGATCAGCTGTTGACGTATTAAAGGACTTAAAAAACTGAAACGGCTACTTTAAAAAAGGTCGTAGGTAAAAGGAATTACTGTAACTGTTATCACCAATATTAGAACAGAAACGGTATGGTTCATAAACATAAAAAATGACGTCACTAGCTTTTTATTATAATAATAGTTGTTTTATTACAAATCCAGTTATTTTATTATAATAAACCTTTTAATTGGAAGTCAACTATACTTTTTATACTAAATAAATTGTTTTTAATTTAATTCCCTCATTAGTAGATATATAAAAATAGTCACACAATGTCCACAAAATGTCAATATCAAGCAGCTGATTCGAATCCTACGTGGTGTTTTCTAGTTATGTTTAATTTTTTTACTCGTATTATGGATACTAGTACCTGGGGACCGAGCTTTGCTCGGGAAAAGTCATTAGTTCACTCTGAAAGCAGTCTTAGTATTGGAGATACATAAATCTATTCCCAAACTCCACACGGCTCGCCTTTACTACGTCCTACACCATTTCCTACGTCTTGGACCTGTTTTCCTCCCTTCCCATAGCATTTTAAGATTGCAGATACCTCAATCTAATCCTCATAGACAGTTCCCACACTCCGGACTACTCGCCTTTACTACTTCCTTCACCACTTCCTACGTCGCGGATCTGTTTCCTTCCCTTCCTATAGCATTTTAAGAATTGCAGATACCTTAAGCTAATCATCATAAACAGTTCCCACACTCCGGACAGCTCGCCTTGACTACTTCCTTCACCACTTCCTACGTCATGGACCTGTTTCCCTCCCTTCCCATAGCATTTTAGGATTGCAAATACCTCAATCTAATCGTCATAAACAGTTCCCACACTCCCGACTGCTCGCCTTGACTACTACCTTCACCACTTCCTACGTCACGGACCTGTTTCCCTCCCTTCCCATATCATTAACTACTTCCTCACCACTTCCTACGTCGCGGGCCTTTTTCCTTCCCTTCCTATAGCATTTTAAGAATTGCAGATACTTTGATCTAATCGTCATAAACAGATCCCAGACTTCGCACTGCTACCCTTGACTACAATGTATCGAGTAATCTTCAGTATAATCTTTGCTAGATATTAACATGTGATGTTTTACCTTTTGTACTGTATTTGTAATTTGTTGTATACTGTGGGTAGTTGGCTTATTATGAACACATGCTACAATTTCAAGTATGTTGTTTACTTTTTACTTGTTATTTAATTCAGCCAACATGGTTACCTAGCAACCCATAAGACTAATGTTAAAAAAAAATTGATTTTCAGTTGCATTTTTCTACGTAATTAAATTTTTTTTGGCAGTTCTAACTGCAGTAAACTCGTTTTTATGCCAGAAATAAACTATTTACAACATTTGAAGAAAATCGTCGGAGCCGTTTTCGAGATCTTGGTGCAAGCATACATACATACATACATACAAGCAAACCTTGCTCGTATTAGAGTATAGGATAATAAAAAGTGTTCCAATAGTTACATGAATAACGAAACCCGGTTCTTATAAAAAAAAGTTGACCCATAAATTGAACTAGGTATATGTTGCTCGAAATCGAGCAATCGCAAAGAAGTACATAAAGGAGTTATTTAAAAACAAATAACTTGTTTAAGAACAAATATAATATAAGTTATAAATTCCGATGAGTTTAAAAGAGTCAACCCAAAGATTACGTAACTAATAATAATACTCACAATGTACTTACCAGTTCAACATAATCAACATTTCTTGTAAATATTTTATCATGTTTCAAAAGCTGATCTGGCTTTTAGCATGGTGGAAGGAAAAAACATAGGTGTGCTATTCCCGTCACTTGGATTGCAAACAAAAGATCACCTGATTATAACTGTCAAATTAGTATATGTATTTGTTTTGATTTGGTTGTTTATTGTTTTTATAATGTGTGTTTTTATAAAAAAAACATTAACAATCAAATCAAAACAAATACATACTAATTTGACAGTTACAATCAGGTGATCTTTTGTTTGCAATACAAGGACGGGAATAGCACACCTATGTTTTTTCCTTCCACCATGGGCTTTTAGTGTGTTGTAGAAATGTTTCCCACTTATAGTCGCAATAGGTTCTCCATGTTGGTCTTTGTCAATGATAATGTAGTTTGTGTGGTATCACCCATTGTCGCCAGTACGTTTACAAATTTCAGTCTTTATTTTAATAGCACCAAATAACCATTAACTACCTGATTTTCTGCATAACCTCTCTGTCACAATTTTACAATTAACTTATGTTCTTCTTCTCACTTTAAATTTCTGACAACAGCTGGAGTTTCATAACAATGTTTGTTTCCCATGTTAATCTTATGGAGAAATACAAAACTTTAAAGGGCCCCAGGTCCTCACTCTCTAATTATTTCCCTAAAAAGAAAGTTTCTTGCACAACTTCACGTTATGCTCTTTCCAATGACACCAAAAACATGTCAATCGGTTCAGTAATTTCAAAAGTAATTGTCACAAAAAACCTGCTTGCGTATTTAATAAGTATAGATTTAACCCTTAGAGTGCCAGGCGAGAAATAAAAGTAACGCTCAAAAAATGCCGATGATTATTCCCGAAGGTCGCGCTTAAAATGCCGAGCGCGATCTGGCGATTTTTAGGTTAAAATTTCGTAAAAATCGAATTTTTGATATTTCGACCAACGAAAATCGATGTATCGCATCTAGTAACTTTCGACTCAATGTTAATATATGGGTTAAAAGAATCCGAGTATCCATTCGGTTGTTATGACAACTGTTCGATCATTACGAAACGTCCGGTCAGCCGGACGTTGGCACTTTTGGCTCGTTCTAAAAACGTCCGGTCGGCCGGACGTCAGCACTTTTGGCTCGTTTTAAAAACGTCCGGTTCCCTGGACGTTGGCACTCAAAGGGTTAAAAAAATTAGGTACATCAATCTCCTTAAAACCAAATCACAAATCCTTCAATCACTCAAAAGTCACAATAAATCATTAATAAAAACACAATCATTAGCTGTTATAAACTCTAGAATATTGTTATGCCTTTTTAATAGTGTGTCATCAAAATATATAAAAAACAACATTTCATTTCATATAATTTTATTCATTTCAGTACATCAATACAGGAATAGCGATCTATACTATATAAAGTTGGAAATGATTAATTTACCAAGTATCGAAATATAAGAAGGTTTCTACTGACTTATACAATCCCCGCCCATAGAACAGGCACCCTGCTAGTTAAATATCAAGATATCTCTTGTTACCCAAGACAAGGTAAGTTAGTGAAAGTAATCATTTTAACAAACATAATAAACAGTATTTTTTTTACCAGGCAGAAGTACAAACAAATATTAAAAATGTAAGAAAAAATCTTCATAAAAACAATAAAATTATTTTAATTTAATAATCTAAATGAGAAAAAAATGTAAATACTGATGTTCAAAATAAATGTTAAACTAATCAACATAATGGATCCAAACTGATTTGTCTCCACTTCTTCAGCCTCCTCTCCCCCAACCTCCATGCCTCCATCGCCATCCACCCTGTCATCAGGCCTGGATAGTGGATATAACAGAACAAAAATTAATAATTAAAACAGTATTCTGAACAAAGAGTCTTTTTATGCATACTTCTATCATTATTTAATGTAGGCTACTCAGTGGCGTACTGAGGGGGGGGGGGGGGAGGGCGGTTTGCACCAGGCCCCACACCAACATAGGCCTCCAAATCAGGGCCGTATTCCCCTAACAGTGGACACTGCGATTGCCAAGGGCTTCGGCCTGGGAAGGGGACTCACTTGGGGCCTCAAAAGAATGCTTTTTCTCTTGGAAAATAAATTTTCCCACAATCTGTTAGAATTAGGGGGTACAATAATCCAAGTTTGTCTTGTATTCTCATGATAGCCGAAAGCGTCTGCAAAGATTGCGTGATCGAAATTTACGACTACCAGCGATCGCGGGTGACGATAATCAGGCCTCGCAACCGCGAAAGATGTTCACGATTGCACCGAGGATGCCCACAATTTTAACCATTGGCGACCTTGGGAGATGAAGATGATGACCCTGCAATCACGATTTGGTCATTACCGAGGACAATATCGTTTAATTTTGCCACAATTGCAGTAACCGTTTGGATCAATACATAAGTGCCGACCCATATAACCCATTTTGTAGGGGTAGCGGATTTCTACCCCCGGATATTTACCCCCATGAAAAAACGCCTACGTCATTTTGACGTCACGAGGGGCGGGGCCTATACACGGTCGAGAAACAGCCCGCGACTGGAAATTTACCCCCAATATATTATTAAATAATCAACATGTAATTGTTTTATTATAAAGTGATTTGCCATAGCACGGAAATCTACCCCCGGACATCTACCCCCAGAAATCCACCCCCGGACATTTACCCCCAGACATCTACCCCCAGACATTTACCCCCGGATATCTACCCCCGGAAATCTACCCCCGGATATCTACCCCCGGAAATCTACCCCCGGACATCTACCCCCAGACATCTACCTCCAGACATCTACCCCCGGACATCTACCCTCGGAAATCAACGGCTCTTCGGTTAAGCATTGTCTTGTAATATCAAGTATAAAGCATGCGATATGTCATTGTCTTGTTTAACATTATCTATCTTCCTAATTCAATAAGCTGTAACAGTCCTTTTTCACCCGACCTACTTCGCCGATTGTTACGATTGAGGTGTAATTTTAAAGCTTAAAACCTTGCGCAGAGCAAAATGGTAATTAAAAAGGATATTTTGATTAGGGTTTCAAAAGGTTGACCCCTAAGCCTTTGATTTATTCCTAGAAGGTGCTTCCAATGGTTGACCAACTTTCACACTATACAGTAACAGTTTTAAAGGTGAAATGTGAGCAGATTACTAATCAGTTAAATTTTTAAGTCAGGTTGATAACCAGAATAGATCGTCTGCAACTGTAAACAAGAGATAGAACACTACCCCAAAACGACTTTTCGTTCTAAATTGGCCCTCTATCAATAACATGTGTTGCCTGTACAGCGAGGCATTTTGAGAAGGAGAAAACCGGCCGGATGAATGCTTTAGGATTATCAATAGCGAAGATAAACATGGTTTTAGTTACACACCGGTAATCTTTGAGTTGACTCATTTAAACTCATTGTAAATATTCATTGTTATTCATTTTGAAATGACTCCTTTAATACTTTGCAATTGCTCGAATTCGAGCAACATGTACACTAGTTACATATTATTGCACTTACGATTTATTTTATCCGTTTATTTACGTGAGTCACAACGTTTTTTTATCTTACTTTGTTTTGGATTTTATTACAAAACGTGATCGGAAATGGTTGCAGTATTAAGTAAACAAAATGTAATAACAAATTTCCAGTGACAGCTAGGAAAAATCATCTTTATCCAGCTTTTCATCTTTCACAGCTTTTCGTTATTTCATTGATGTCTCTAACATTGATGTATTCTCCAAACAAATTATTAGTATTTCATAAATTACTGGTAAACATTAGAAGTAGCTTATGGGGTTGAACAAAATTTATTTTAATTCAAAAGTAGTGAGGCCATATTTTAATGGCTTAAGTTACTCGTGTCAATCCACCGAATCCAAAAAAAAAAAAACTATTTAAATCGAATCACGATCGATGCTCTAGTTTTTGAGAAGAAGGCCACGTAAAATGCCTTCTGGGCCTTGACAGACAAGACAGAAATTGAGATAAAGACTTGTTTTGGCTTCTTTAATGTATGAAACGTAAAAATTACCAAAAAATATATAATTTTAGGCAATGTTCATTCTAAACTCTAATTTCATTAAAATAAATTCGTAAAACCAAAAGAACCATGAGGTAAAAATACCTTCCCTATCCCGAAATATCCAATTTTATTCTTTTACATTATTTTCCGTTATTTCACAACCAGAACCAACCATAAAATATGTTTATGTTTTATTTTTTACGATTAATTATTTGTTTAAACAACTAGATTTTTTAGCCAATGTAAAACTCCGGATAGTGTCTACGACATAGGGATTATGCTATTTCGTATTACTAGGAGGTAATTGTTAGTGACAAAATTATTAATTCAATAATCAACCTGTGGCAGGCTTTTTATCAACATTTAATTGCATTTTTACCACTAGTAATCAGAAAATAACCTCCTTCAGTGATATGTTTTAAATTTCACGATCTGCGCTCGTACATGTGCCGTTAGCTACGAGTGTATGTGAAAGTTGGTTAACCATTTAAATCACTGTCTGAAAATAAATCAAATGCTTATGGGTTAAACTTTTGGAGCCCTTTATAAAAATATCCTTTTTAATTACCATTTGCGTTGCACTGAATCTTAAGCTTAAAATGACACCTAACTCAGTTACAGCTTAATGAATTGGGAAGATAGATGACATTAAACAAGACAACGAAATATCACATGCTTAATACTAGATATTAGAGGGTAATTATCAAACGAAGAGCCATTGATTATTTTTATAAAGCAATTACTAAAATCAACTACAACAATGAATATTGGCCGTTACGTAGTGTAGCACGGGGGGTAGATTTCCGGGGGTCGGAAATAAATAATTCCGGGGTCGGACATTTATGATTTGACCACTGGGGGTACATTTCTGGGGGTAGATATCCGGGGGTAGATGTCTGGGGGTAGATGTCCGGGGGTAGATGTCCGGGGGTGGATGTCTGGGGGTAGATTTCCGGGGGTAAAGTTCCGGTGTCAGGTTTATTAGCATTTTGATTAATTTTTAACTGTTAAGTAAACCGTGAAATGCGAGTTGATTGAATATATAATAATTTATCCATCCTAAAAGTTCGCGGCCGGAAATCTACCCCCATGCATGTGACGTCAAAGTGACGTAGGCGTTTTTTCATGGGGGTAAATATCCGGGGGTAGAAATCCGGCGACCCATTTTGTATAGGACAAAATATAACGTACAGAGTGTGGCAAAATTATCTGACAGTTTTCTTTGCTGCCCTGTCGGGCGAGTGACTGGCGGAAGGTGGTGGGGATAGGGGCGCTTCAAGGCCTACGAGCGGACATTTTTAGTTGCCATGGAGCTGGTCATCACTGAAACAGAAGAGTATTTTGAAGGCTTTTCAAGTTTGTAGGGTACTATTTATTTGGACATAATTTGAACGAGGTTGGAGAAACTTTAAGATAAGTGTATAGAGCTGAATAAAAGGAGATTATAGCAAAATAAATCAAATTTATCACAACAAATTGTGTTATTCTATATTCTTCTAAGGTCTTATTGAACCACGCTTGTACTAAATACCTTATTGATGCATGAGAATTTTTTGTTTCAACTGCTTCTGTTGACAGGGGCTTTTCCATTTGTCTTAAAATTATTGTTGTTTCAGTACTTACCAAATGTAAAAACTATGACATATTCAGAAAAATTATAGTTATGGTGTCAAAAAATATAGCCTACATTTCCTAAAAAACAAAAGCAAATTTTTGGGCACCTCTCGAGTTAAAATGCTGGTTAAATACTAGTAATTCAGGAGGGTTATGCGACATAGGCTTGGGGGCAATGGACACGGCCCTGGTTTTATAAGTATTAAATTTAAGTAAATGGCAAAACTTACCATTAGTTAGTTCTCTTCAATCTTAGTCTTTACTTCGCCCCATCCTCGATCTCCTCTTCCTCTGGCACCTCTCCCCTGTATTCTCCAATGTCGGAGGATATTAATTACAACGCCCCCATTTTACTGGTAGGCTTCAGTTCTGTACAGAAATATTGCAAAAAATAGTGTTATACAAATAATTTTAGTCCAACAAATAATACAAGTGTGTACACTCCTTTCTATATTTGCGATATTCAAATAGGTACAGCTAATAGGAAAATGTTTGAGCAAATCTGGGTCAAGTTAGTACAAATATTAGAATTTGTAACAATAATTTGGTTTAGACAAAATAAATTGGTTTAACTTGTTCGCTACCACAATTATATGGGATTTACGTTCGCATAGACCACCGACGCATATTTGCGTCAGCTGATCACACTGAAATAGACTAACGACGCACACTTGCGTCGGTGTTCAATGTTATTAATCAGCGTATTTCTTAGCAACGGTCTATTTTAAAGCCCTGATTTTATCGTATCGGTCTAGAGGGATATCTGCCGCAAATGTGCGTCGCTTGGTCTGTGGATATGACGATTGGTTACGTCACACAACAGTTGGCAACATTGTTGTTTACATTGTGCATTCCGCGACATCTCAGAACAGATGTAAACGTTATAACCTTTGCAGTTTTGGCGAGTGGTGGAGTTTCTTTATTTGTTTGTGTAAAAGCTTGAAACAACCAAATTACAGCCTTTGCTCCAGGATCATCTATAAAATTAACATTGATGTCATCAGCAATGAATTATATAATCCAAGTCTAGTCTTACACCAAATACAAACAGCTCTAGAATATTTTACAGCACATAATTTTACGTCCTACACTCATTCCAATGAATATATTTCTTTAATACTTTCTTACTTATTACTTGGCGACCATACAAAGTATAGTCTGATTTTTACCGGAGTGCGGCTGGAGCTCAGCCCTACCTGTGAGGGACCCGACTCACGCACGCACACTCACCACCGTCCTAATTGCCTCAAAGCCCCGATCCCCTATTCACTAAGTAGAAATATATAAGATCTGTTGTATGATACCTCAAAATTGCAATTCATTTGATTTTAGATATACAGTAAAATGGTTAGTGTTAATAAATTTGTTGTTTAATTCAATGAAAAATGAGTCCAAACACGAAATGATTATGACAAGTAGCTAGCTAATAAAAACGTGTTAAAATATTCGTAGCTTTTACACTTTGTAAGCAAAATATATATTGTTTGGTAGGTATCATTTTACTAAGCATTTTGAGCTGAAGTCAAAATCGTTACCACATTTTATAACAAACGTAAAATTACAAAAATTATAGTTCAATTTCCGTGAGCCAGCGATGACTCGTGCGGCAGGACAATGGTCCGTCCCACGTCCGTCCTAATCCCTTGCGTCTGTGTGTGTGAGGCCTGCGTGTGTGAGAGTATGGTCGACCCTTCAGCCAGCCGCTTTCCGTCAACAATCACACTATAGGTACCGTATTTTAAGCCAAGTATGAATGGAAATGAGTGTAGGATCAGGATGAGTGGCGCGATCTTGTAGTCTTGTTAGTGACTAAGGCCGACATTCCTTAGACACAGCTGTTAATTAATAGCCCATACAGCTAATGGCAACTAAGGGACCTACGGTTTATAGTGGAATCCGAACCACATTATTGCCTTGGTATATACGAATTGGTCTAATTATCAGGATAGTACTGCGGATAGTCGTAGTACTCACTCGTGCGGACATTAATCCACACCAGGGAGTATCGCATCCACAGTGCATGCCTATAAATATCCACAATTCGTGACCTCCTAGTAGTTGGATTACAGGACGACGCCACCCGTCCCAGTCATATTGATTATTTCATTCAATAAACTTAGGCCTATATCAATTTTGGGTAATGTTAGGGTAAAACTTAACCTAACTAACGGAATGAAATATTCAAAATATTAAATAGTCTTGTATTAATATCTTTCATTTGAATGAATGTAGGACATAAACTAAAGTGCAGCCAAATATTTTTACATAAACAAATTTTTAAAGTTGACACTGGGTCAGTGGGAAAAAGAGACAATCCTAATAGCCTAGGGATAGTGCCTATTCAAACATTTGCTACAATATTGCTTGATGATCCAGAATTAGCCTACGAATAAGCTGTATCTTAGGTTCTTGTTGGTGACTTACCTAAGTTAGTGTCTGGTAGGACTACTTAATGTTATTAAGTTATCACGTTGATTACGTTTTTTACCAAATAAAAATTAACTTATTTCACATTATTCCTTAAAAACTATTGTTTGTAACACTCGAGTCATCTATTTTCTTGTAAACAAGGAAAGAAATAAAAAAGATAAATATTTACAATATAAAAGTTTTTAGTCAATAAATGGCCAGCTTGAAGATGTCCGTCGGAATTCGGAATCAAATATTGCGACTCGTGAGTTGAGGAACTGAACGATGAATTAGAACAACTCCTTTTCAAGAGTAGCTCCGAAGAACGGGTGCTTGTCGATATACTGGGACTATTTCAGTGTCGACAAAATGAAACTATTTCATTGTCGACAATATGGGATGTCGACAATTTGTGGTGTCGATCATTTGCGACGTCGGTTATTTGGGATGTCGGTTAAGTGGGAATATTCCAGTGTCGACAAACTGGGAATAATTCAGTTTCGATCAATTTCTACGGTTGTCGATATTATGGAACCCACCCCTAGCGGCGAACGCTGACACTATGTTAGCCATCGTCCCTCCCGTGTGCCCCACCGGTGAGCGGTGAGTGAGAGTGAAGTGAGAGTAGAGTGAGAGTGAGAGTGACTGAGTGGAGTGGCACTGACAGGCAAACAGGCAGAGAACAGCAGAGATATTTTTGTCATTTTTATTTACTTACTAACTTTAGTAACTTTCACAGTACTAAGTTGTTAAACACTAATCCTAAACAGGTAATTTAGTCAATGCTTGCTTAGCTTAGCTTATACTTATACTTGCATAGCTTTATACTTATAGCTAGTAGCTAGGCCTAGTTCGAGGCAAAGACAAGTTGTTTTAAATCTGTTAGTAGTGTAAAGGCGGGGACACACTTGTCATACACCCTTCCGATCCGACTCCGATCATACTGCGGTACCACTGTCGGAGAGGGGAATGGTGCATAACATTGAACGCGGTTGTTTACACCTCTCCGACACGCGTCACGTCATACTCCGATTTAGACTCCGATCACGCACCGACACTGCAGTCTATTCGTTTGTCGTATGCAGGACGGGTAGTTTCTTAAAAATAACCTTTATTCTTAAGGTTTAGGAACAATGGTTTAAGATAAATATATGCCGATGCTTGATTTGAAATCTGTGCGTGCATACCTTCAATTCGAGACCTCAATCATGAAAATCGGACGGGTAGAAGAGCTAAACGAACTCGAGAGAGAAAAACCTATAATATATATAATGGACACTTCTGCTTTCCTTCCATGCAGAATGGACCCAAATTCTCCGTTTTCCACTGCCCTCCAGAGATGTCTGACTTTCTTCCTCTTCATCTAGACATACCGCCACCATGGCTAAATCCTGAATACCAAAGTTTTTGAACATACAGTATTTTTCACCTTCTGCACGTAGTTTACGTTTACGAATCAGACTGGCGAGTGTTGATCTACCCGCTGGAGGAAATCGGAGATGGGTGCCGGTTCGGAAGCGTGTATGACATGTGTGTTCACCCCCTCCGATCCATGTCTGTGAAACTGCCAATAAACCAACATTAAGCTATGACGTCACGTCAGATCAGTAGATCAAGAAGGCCGTGGCATCAAAACTTCCTAACCTCAAATGCATGTATCAAAACTTTCTAACCTCAAACACATGTGTCACATGTCAAAACTTCCTAACCTCAAATACATTTTATGTTTAAATTACACCTTTTGAGCAGTTATTAAGTGTTTGTTTTACTAGTATACCATTTTTATGTTAATGCGGTGCCGAAATAAAGTGCAATGACCACTAATAACACTTGTTTTTATTCCATTGATATGTAGGCCTACTTCCACTAACCTCAAAGTGCATTTCACACTACAAACATACATCTGACTAGATTTATGTAGATTACTTTTATGGATTATGTTACATTATAAGTCAATACATGTGATAATAAAATAGCATGCCCATACGATGCTTATGATGGTTTCTATATGTGGTAACAGTTAGACCTGCTCCTTACCCAACTACCGATTTAACAGATTAAAAAAAAACAATTATATTTTAAAATTCGCTCGATAAATTTTCATTATTTTAATGGAGAATGTTATTTACACGTCTACACATGTTATAATAAAATGGCAAGCCCATTCGATGCTTATGATGGTTTCTATAGGTGGTAGAAGATAGGCCTGCTCCTTACTGAGCTACCTATTTTTCAGATAAAAAAAAATATATTTCAAATTTGGCTCGATAAATTTTGATTATTTTTAAGGAGTATGTTATTTACACGTATACACGTGTCATAATTAAATGGTAAGCCCATTCAATGCTTATGATGGTTTCTGTATGAGGTAGAAGTTGAACCTGCCATTTATTAGACTACTGATGTTACAGATTTAAAAAAATTATATTTCAAATTTGGCTCGATAAATTTTGATTATTTTTATGGAGTATGTTATTTACACGTATACACGTGTCATACGTAAATGGCAAGCCCATTCAATGCTTATGATGGTTTCTATATGTGGTAGAAGTTAGGCCTGCACCTTACTGTGCTACCGACTTTTTCAGATAAAAAAAATATATTTAAAATTTGGCTCGATATATTTTGATTATTTTTATGGAGTATGTTATTTACACGTATACACGTGTCATAATTAAATGACAAGCCCATTCAATGCTTATGATGGTTGCTATATGTGGTAGAAGTTAGGCCTGCTGCTTATTGAGCTACCGATTTTTACAGATTCTTAAAAAATTATATTTCAAATTTAGCTCGATAAATTTTGATTATTTTTATGGAGTATGTTATTTAGACGTCTACACATGTTATAATAAAATGGCAAGCCCATTCAATGCTTATGATGGTTGCTATGTGTGGTAGAAGTTAGGCCTGCTCCTTATTGAGCTACAGATTTTTACAGATTCTAAAAAAATTATATTTCAAATTTAGCTCGATAAATTTTCATTATTTTTATGGAGTATGTTCTTCACACGTTTACACATGTTATAAAAAAATGGCAAGCCCATTCGATGCTTATGATGGTTGCTATATGTGGTAGAAGTTAGGCCTGCTCCTTACTGAGCTACCTATTTTTCAGATAAAAAGAAATATATTTCAAATTTGGCTCGATAAATTTTGATTATTTTTAAGGAGTATGTTATTTACACGTATACACGTGTCATAATTAAATGGCAAGCCCATTCAATGCTTATGATGGTTTCTGTATGAGGTAGAAGTTGAACCTGACATTTATTAGACTACTGATGTTACAGATTTAAAAAAAAATATATTTCAAATTTGGCTCGATAAATTTTGATTATTTTTATGGAGTATGTTATTTACACGTATACACGTGTCATAATTAAATGGCAAGCCCATTCAATGCTTATGATGGTTTCTGTATGAGGTAGAAGTTGAACCTGCCATTTATTAGACCACTGATGTTTCAGATAAAAAAAATATATATTTCAAATTTGGCTCGATAAATTTTGATTATTTTTATGTAGTATGTTATTTACACGTATACACGTGTCATAATTAAATGGCAAGCCCATTCAATGCTTATGATGGTTTCTATAGTTGGTAGAAGATAGTCCTGCTCCTTACTGAGCTACCGATTTTTCAGAAGAAAAAAATTATATTTCAAATTTCGCTCGATAAATTTTGATTATTTTTATGGAGTATGTTATTTAGACGTATACACATGTCATACGTAAATGGCAAGCCCATTCAATGCTTATGATGGTTTCTATCGGTGGTAGAAGATAGTCCTGCTCCTTACTGAGCTACCGATTTTTCAGAAGAAAAAAATTATTTTTCAAATTTCGCTCGATAAATTTTGATTATTTTTATGGAGTATGTTATTTACAAGTATACACGTGACATAATTAAATGGCAAGCCCATTCAATGCTTATGATGGTTTCTATAGGTGGTAGAAGATAGGCCTGCTCCTTACTGGGCTACGGTTTTTTTCAGATAAAAAAATTATATTTCAAATTTCGCTCGATAAATTTTCATTATTTTTATGGAGTATGTTATTTAGACGTATACACATGTCATACGTAAATGGCAAGCCCATTCAATGCTTATGATAGTTTCTATAGGTGGTAGAAGATAGTCCTGCTCCTTACTGAGCTACCGATTTTTCAGAAGAAAAAAATTATATTTCAAATTTCGCTCGATAAATTTTGATTATTTTTATGGAGTATGTTATTTACAAGTATACACGTGACATAATTAAATGGCAAGCCCATTCAATGCTTATGATGGTTTCTATAGGTGGTAGAAGATAGGCCTGCTCCTTACTGGGCTACGGTTTTTTTCAGATAAAAAAATTATATTTCAAATTTCGCTCGATAAATTTTCATTATTTTTATGGAGTATGTTATTTAGACGTATACACATGTCATACGTAAATGGCAAGCCCATTCAATGCTTATGATGGTTTCTATAGTTGGTAGAAGATAGTCCTGCTCCTTACTGAGCTACCGATTTTTCAGAAGAAAAAAATTATATTTCAAATTTCGCTCGATAAATTTTGATTATTTTTATGGAGTATGTTATTAACAAGTATACACGTGACATAATTAAATGGCAAGCCCATTCAATGCTTATGATGGTTTCTATAGGTGGTAGAAGATAGGCCTGCTCCTTACTGGGCTACGGTTTTTTTCAGATAAAAAAATTATATTTCAAATTTCGCTCGATAAATTTTCATTATTTTTATGGAGTATGTTATTTAGACGTATACACATGTCATACGTAAATGGCAAGCCCATTCAATGCTTATGATGGTTTCAATAGTTGGTAGAAGATAGTCCTGCTCCTTACTGAGCTACCGATTTTTCAGAAGAAAAAAATTATATTTCAAATTTCGCTCGATAAATTTTGATTATTTTTATGGAGTATGTTATTTACAAGTATACACGTGACATAATTAAATGGCAAGCCCATTCAATGCTTATGATGGTTTCTATAGGTGGTAGAAGATAGGCCTGCTCCTTACTGGGCTACGGTTTTTTTCAGATAAAAAAATTATATTTCAAATTTCGCTCGATAAATTTTCATTATTTTTATGGAGTATGTTATTTAGACGTATACACATGTCATACGTAAATGGCAAGCCCATTCAATGCTTATGATGGTTTCTATAGTTGGTAGAATGTAGTCCTGCTCCTTACTGAGCTACCGATTTTTCAGAAGAAAAAAATTATATTTCAAATTTCGCTCGATAAATTTTGATTATTTTTATGGAGTATGTTATTTAGACTTCTACACATGTTATAATTAAATGGCAAGCCCGTTCAATGCTTATGATGGTTTCTATAGGTGGTAGAAGATAGGCCTGCTCCTTACTGGGCTACGGTTTTTTTCAGATAAAAAAATTATATTTCAAATTTCGCTCGATAAATTTTCATTATTTTTATGGAGTATGTTATTTAGACGTATACACATGTCATACGTAAATGGCAAGCCCATTCAATGCTTATGATGGTTTCTATAGTTGGTAGAATATAGTCCTGCTCCTTACTGAGCTACCGATTTTTCAGAAGAAAAAAATTATATTTCAAATTTCGCTCGATAAATTTTGATTATTTTTATGGAGTATGTTATTTAGACTTCTACACATGTTATAATTAAATGGCAAGCCCATTCAATGCTTATGATGGTTTCTATAGTTGGTAGAATATAGTCCTGCTCCTTACTGAGCTACCGATTTTTCAGAAGAAAAAAATTATATTTCAAATT